GGCAAAGATAAACCTGGTAAGCTTGAGAAAGTAGAGGATCACCAGCACCAGTGACCGACTATGCCACCCTGATGAAGGGACCCTGCGTGGCCCACAAACATTGGCTATCTGAAGTATATGACACTGTGTTTCAATAAATGAACACAAAGATTTAAACAATATCTTCTGAGTGCTGGTGATCCTCTACTTTCTCAAGCTTGAAAACGCACAGCGCCGTCCGTGTTTATCACTGTGCGCACCACATCTGCTACTGGCTCCAGACGCTGTAAGAAGTGTTACCAGGTTTATCTGTATGATAAACCTGGTAAGTAATTTTTTAACACTGAGCTGTGCATTGTGGTGCTTTCCCGACCTTGAGTTTTTTGTCATTTAGCTGCAGAGCATAGTCTTCAACCCCAGAGAAGTAGCATGACCACTGGTGTGACTAAGTCTCTAAAAAATCTCTTTGTAAGACAGTCCTTCAGACGGAAACATATGGACATTTCCTCAGTGTAGCTTTGGAATCCCTACCAGCACCCCATTGAAGTAGTATTTTGTGGGTTATTATGGTCTCAGCTCTTCATTTATTCAGCTCTGCAACATAGTGCTATACAGATCTCTGTGTACTGTGTTAGTCAGCTGCAGGGCACTCTCCCAGTCTAGAGCCACGGCACAACTCACAGTGGCATCCAGTCTCTTCAGACTTATTTAGTGAAATAAAGCCACCTGGCCTGAACCTTGTCAGATTTGTTCACAGCTGTATTCATGTTGTACTTTTAGACATCATGGATTTGTTTGGAGTGTGTTTTTGTACATTTGACTTTGTGGCAGTTCACAAAGCATTTTAGACCAAGAGCATTGCACAACCTCTGGTATGCCTAGTCTCTAAGAACTCACATAGTGAGTGAATCTGGGTTCCCTGATCCATTGTAAATTACTTCACAGCTAAATCATTTGCATATATTTATATCCCCCCCCACCCAAAGCTGAGGGAACTGAATGCTGATGTCATCCACTAGGCGTAGTGTGGTGCAGTCACTTCATATTATTTCTCCTGCCTTTTCAGCCTGAAAGAAGCACTATCCTGTCAAGATTCCTTTTTTCAACATTATTGAATCTCCTGGTTCCCTCTCTGTTTCCGCTACCGGCCTATTGTGAATAGCCCATTCAGCAGCCTTTTGGGTTGGCTAAACCGAAGCAGTCCTGCAGCCAAAGTGAGGCGAAGGATTAGATGAAGGTTCTGCTTAATCCTTTGGCAGATTAGTGAATAACCCCCTAAGTTTGCCACTCACATGGGCCTAATGTCTGTTCACATGCTTAGAGCACTTTGGTTCCATGCTTGGGAAGCTGATCATGCCCTTAAAGTGACATCCACTATTCCCCCCCATGCCTCTTTAAGGACTTACCTTTAATGATGCCTCTTGATCCAATCATCTTCTTCCTTCCACTTGTTTTCAGCAATCCCTCCATGGTGCCGGTCTCTGATCCAGCGCAGACTCCTCATGTCCCATGGTGTCTATCTTATGTGCACGGCTGCGTGCATTAACTTACATTAAGTCTCTCCTCTTCTCCCTGTCAGTGATCTCTACTGCACATTTGCCCGCACTCCTGCACGGCCATTTAAGAAGCTACAGATCAACAGCCGGGAGCAAGCGGCGGACAGTTTTAAAAAAAATTTTTTGCATAGATGTACTGCTTGCTTGCTAATGTGAATTTAATACTACTTTGAGCACTTTGTTTACTGTCCTTTGAAGGGTTAATACCTCTTTGCCTCCGTTAAGTATCTTTCATTTAATTTTTTCTGACATTGTTGTCATTTTCGCCAGCATTGCATGGCTTTTTTTGTGTGCCTTTGAGTGTGCTATCCTACTTACTCCTGCGTTTCTATTCCTTAAGATGCTTGATTCTTTTCAAGCACTCTACCTCATTGTAGGGATTTCATAACTTCCTACTCTACTGGTATAAGTTTTCAATACTTTGGTTATTTGTACTTCTTATGGCACAGAACACTATGTTATCCCTAGTGCCTTCTATTCTTTTATTGCCCTCAATTATATTCCCTACATATTTTCACTGAAAACAGTCAGTGCCCTAAATCCAACAGTTTTCTGCATCCGGGTGCTAAATTTTGCCTCCCTTGGCTACATCCAATCCCATCCCATTGCAGTTTTGAAGGAAACTATGGGATAATCTAAGGGATAATGTGCATTCCATTTTTCCATAGTTACCAGTAAAATTGTTGGTCTATTCTCATATTGAGCACTATTTCCTTCCACAATTTGTGAATAATATCCCTGCAGTCTGTATTTTTAAAGTGGTCCTTTTTCATCTCCTTAGATCAAATTTTTCTCATTTGACCATCGGGAGTCTTTGTCCTGAGGGTGTCCTTCTTTGTAACGGCTCCCCTGATAAAGGAGTCCCACTCCAAAATGATGTTTATTTAGGGCCTCATTTTCCTTCTGCCTATTCTATGGCGTCATGTGGGCCGTCTGTACATTTTTATTCTTGTTATACACCTGTTTGTATGAATAATATGTATCTACAACACATTGGATGCTGCAGACAGGGTTTAATATGGCTATCACATTTTTCAAACTCTTCTGCGATGACCAACATAACTGCAGGTCTAAGCTAATTTCCTGTTTAGTTAGTACTGTTCCACGTGTATTTCACTTTGGTTGAATGATTGGCTGTGCTTCGCAACACCTGTAGGGAGCGGTATGATACACATTAAATAGACTATTCTACAATCCTGTGTCCCTCAGTGGACTCCAAAAAAAAGATTTTAAGGTAACTACAAAAATCGAAATTTTCTGCCCTTCCCTCTGGATGAAAAGTATAAAAAAATTCTGTACTCACAGGTTCAAGTTAAACTAAACACCAAAACATTCTATTTTTTTTTTATTTTGCAGCTTACCAGCCTTTAGATTTGGTGGCTGTAATTATTTCCTTTATGCTAAGAACATTTTCAGAAAGTGCAGAAAATACTTTTTGGTCTTACTGGTAGTGTAGTGTCCTTGTTATTTCCTGTGAGCTTACCAGAAAACTCAACCATCCTTATCTTTCTTCTGAAAACTACTAATCTCATCTGCCTCTATAAAATAGAGATGAAAATGGCAGACATATTTTAAATCTAGCTGTAAATTCAGTGGAGGAGTAAACATAGGACAGCAAGTGTTTTAAGGCTGGGTCACAGGTGAAAATAAAGGGAAAAATGCCTGAAAAAGAAAAACAAATGCAGCCACCTCATCTAAGTACTGGCAGGTTGCAGTGTAATACTTTTTTGGTTTTGTGTTTAGATTCACTTTAAGTTCTATATACTAAGGAATGTAAAAAATAATAAATATCACAGTGAAAGCTGGTATTATTCAAAAGTCACACTCCATTTAAACCTGAAATTTATGCTTTTCAATGCATGAAGACATACAGCCTACCTAATCAGGGTTTCTGTTTGTCATACAGGCATAGCTATATTGCTGTTCCAATTTATTGCAAAAATCTTATTGCTGGTAATCTAGTGCTGGAAGTCTAACCTCCTGAGACTTATAGATATGCAGACCTGTTATTCATTGTCCTGCACAAATTCCAGAAGCTGTATAGTCTTACCCAGAATTCCTGTAAGCAGGTTGCAATATCCGGTTGCATTCGGACTGTGTAAAACAAAAACTAAAATAGACTGAGAGGATTTTTCACTTTAGCATAGTTGCAGTCTTTTCTGGATAGGATTGGCACTTCACCGATCTGTTGAACTTGCTGCCTGTAATTGCTTTTAATTTTAGATTTATTTTATCTTTTGTTTTGATATCAATAATACATTGCAGTTAGGCTCCTATCCATGCTATATAATTACTTATATATAACGCTTTATAACTGCACAGCAGGTACATGTTATACGAACTCTTTAACACACAAATGTTTTTGTTTTTTTTATCTGTGCAGAACTTCACACTATTTAGATAGTATTACATATATTTAATGTACAACTCATTATAATTTAGACAACAGCATGTATTTAAGATAATGCCATTATCTCCATTCTATTGTCACTTTGTATGTGGTATTTATAAATCCTTTAGGCAGTGTTGTACATAAGAGTTTTTTTACACTGAGCATTTTGCCTTGCCTTTCGCGGTGTTTTGCAGTATATGCCAAATGCATGAATAAATGAAAATCACATTGTTCAAAACTCATTGCCCCATCCATATTGTTTTGGAGTGCTGTATTTTTGTGAACATTATCCTTTGTTGTTCCATTCATGGCTATTGAAGAAGATCCATCATAACTGCAGTGTAAACATGTCAAGTTAAGTTGCAGTGTATATTTCCATGCATGTTGTTTGTGAAAAGTCCTTAAAATGCAGCTTGTGAAACACACTAGATACCCTAATGCGTTCACACATTGTAATTAAATGCTTTAATGCTGATTATTATGATCATATGTAATGCATTACTGACAGTGTGTGCATATTTTTGATCATTCTCAATTATTAGTGACAGTTAAAAAGATAGGATAGGGTCACATTGGCTGATTTTGTGTCTGGACCTATTAAGGGAATTAAAATTTGGTTCGGCACACAAAATCCCTCCCATCAATATGTTGGGTAGTAGACTTATTTCTTTCTGTTCAGCCAGAGTACTGGTTTATGAAAAATACAATAACCTTGTGGTTGTATAGTTTCACGCCAGAGGCACATGGCGGGCAAATCTTATGACAATGCAGCTATGCATGTGAGAAGTACTGCTTGACATAAATAGCACATGCTCTGTTGCCCTGATGACCAGCACTTGGGGTGTCATATTCAAGTTGTAATTTATATGAGATTTTGAGGATTGTCATTTTTTTATGGCACAGTGTACAAGTTTATCTTTTGTCTGTAACAAAATTGGGTAATTTATAACCTATTATATAAAACAAGGGCACAAGTATGACAAATCCAGAAGGATTATACACTTGTAACAGCTATAAAATTGTACTAATATGTATAAAGTAGGATAACTGAGAAAAATTATATCTTGCTTTAGATGCCTTGAACACTCGTAACCGGCAAGTCATCTGCACCACCCTCAAAGTTCTGCAGCATCTGGTTGTTTCATCTGAAATGGTGGGCGAAGCCCTTGTCCCTTACTATCGCCAAATTCTTCCCATTCTCAACATCTTCAAGAATATAAATGGTAAGACTTTTTTTTTACTTACTTTACCTTTACTAACTGATCAAAAGGTAATATACCTAAAAACAGATTGATGTACATATATGTTTCTTGAATGTATGAATGAATAAAACGAATCATGGAATATGGTAACATCACTTCAACTGCATATCTTCACTGATAAATCTAAAGATGAGAGTAAGACAAGAGCTACATTTCCCAGTGCTGGGGTCTAGTAAAATTACTATTTAATTTACAACACATCTCACTTGCAGCTTATTAAAGAAAAGAAGCACCAAAGACATTGTATAATCTTTAATAATTGCATTTTGGATGTTGTAACTGTCTTTTAAGCAGATGAGGGGATTGTGTTGTCTGTGCATGTGCAATAAATATTATTCTATAATTTGGATGGGCTGTTAAAGCAACCAAATTCCAATTGACAGTCATTGTAACTGGTTCATTTGATACATAGCTAGACCTAAGTGATAATGGCAGTTTCTTCATTTCTGTAACAAAGAAAACTTGTTACTTTAAATGTATTAACAGTTATATGTTCCACATTCTATTAAGCACACCATGAAATGTATTCTTTCTCTGAAACATGTGATAGGACAAGTTACTGCAGTGCTAAATTAACTGTTTAGTGTCTGCTTTATGTAAGACATAGAGAGTAATGTTTTTTACGTTATAGCACTTTTTTCCGTTATAGCTGGTAACAAATAAAGATGGCCATAATCCTTAGATGACAGCCAGATGTGCTCTATGTGATCAAGCTAAAGGGATGAACTTGAATTCTTAGGTTCCTTGAGTGTTCATGCCTTTAAAAGAGGCACTGACAGAGAGACACAGTGTTTTCCACAGACTTATTTCTGGGGGAACAATAGTGATATTTTGAGATTTTGAAACCTGCCGGATTGATTGTTTCCCCATAGAATGGTTGTTTGGCAGTGTATGCGTATGCCATGGACATGCTAGACTTGGTAATGCTAGAGAAACAGCTAGACTAGGTAATGCCCACCTCTTATCAATAGTTTGGTTAAAGATCACAGAAAATAAGGACAACAATACTGGGTGTACAGGCCAGTAGCAACATGTTTGCAGTTCTTTAGCTTTGGTGGGTATCAGAGTGCGGTAACTGGTATCTTCGGAGCAGCCTGTTGAAGCCCATGATGATACACACCAACAGGATGTGCACAAACATCCATGTAAGCCTTTTGTTTGCAGCCTTCTTGTTAATTCACTTGTTTGAGCTACATGAGCCTTCTTAGCTTCAGAGACCTTCCAACTTTGGGGAGATACATCTTATTGCATCTTGTTGGGTAAGATCCATCTTTTTTTAAGCATCCATTAAATCAGACAATACTGTGACACTTTTGGTTACTGACTATCCTTGATTGGATATCAGATGTACACAATATTTCTCCATATTAAATTATACACATCATATAGCAACCACATGGTGACATATCAGTGTATTTACTCACAGAATTAGTTATTTTCACCATCTGAAGGATTTAATTCTCACCACCTTTCCTGTTTTTGGTTCTCCTGTGATTGGGGAGTAGACACACTAAAGCTCTTATACATTTTTGGGACTTTGAAGTTAAAGCTGTCAGACATTCCCTTTTGATTGGGGAGTTTATTAAGATATAATTTATTACTGGACAAGGTGTGATTAGATTCTACCTGTTATGAACTATTTTATCCCAGCTTTGGACAATACAGTGTATGCATTTCCATGAGAACATTGTGCTTAATGATACTTCTCCTGTTTTGCCTTACTGAGAATAAATCTACCAGTCCTTTAACAATAAATTCAAAGTATCTGCTGTGATCTTGAACAATGTAAAGTGTTGTAGTACTTTAACCCCTTCATGACTGAGCTTGTTTTTAGTTTCTGTTCGTAAAAAAAGGGGTTAAAGATAATCTGCAGGTTTTACTTTAGGATGTCTCTCTAAATGCTTTGAGTCTTCAAGGTCTCTGCATTTGTTCAGTAGACTGTATGCCTGAAACGTGTTGCTCTTTGGCATTTATTTTGCTTTAATAATATCTGAGACTATGACATACCATTGCTATTTTAAATATCCAATTTTCTAGGTGTGTTCCAGTTCCAGGGAGTTGCAATGATGGTTTATGTATGTGGAGTTTTACTGATAAAGGTGTAAATCAATTATGTGTAATATCACAAATGTCGAGGGTCCATTGTTGGCATTTTGCGTATGTTATGTCTATTTATGTTGAGAAGAGCTTCAATTCAAAACTATGCTATTAAGAGGTATAAAAAAGGTATATGGTTTAATACACTGGTGAGTATTATTCAAATCACCTTTGTAATTTTTGTCTCTACTAATTTTTACAACAGGAGATCTCTAATCTTCCACTTATTTATTTTGGTTAATAACTATTTATTATATAAAAGTTGGTGATAGCAGATATTTTGCATCCCTCTACTGGCAATAAAAATCGGACAGAGGTTATAATCCTTCCCCACTTCCAATATAGGAAAAAAACATTGGAGTTCATGGTTGCTTTCCAGGTGGTTGTGGTATTTTTTGTTCCAAGGGTGCTGTCAGACCTTGACACAGAAGGTCCAGGCCATTGATCCTTTACAGAGTGTCTTAGGTCTCCTGTGCAGCAGTTGTTGCCATCATCCCATGTAGAGCATGTAGAGAAATATACTCTACATGCTCTACAAGCTTTGTTTGTGGGTTTTTTTGTGTATTCCTTGCATTCTTTTGTCACATTTACAAGTTTCTGTACTTTTCTTTCACAATATTTTAAAATGATGTCAGGCATAATATTTAGGGGATTAGAGGATCCAGCATATTTTAAAAATCAATATCTTTATTTCCCTGTAGTTTGCAATGCGTGTTTCTTGATTGACCATACGCTTTTTGGAACATCATGTAGTTTATTCACTTTTCCATTAATTATTTTTAAGTAATAATGATACTTTTCATTTTTAATTTCAATTGCATAATCTTATGAAATTTGCAGTTAAGACTGTTAAAAAGCATTCAATTTCGTCAGTAAAAAATACTAAAAGATTATATTAGCTCCACATCTGACCCAAATAGAATGCTTTCCCAAGTATAGGCTTATTTATAGTTTAATTAGTGCTATACGGTATAAAGTGTGGTGGAAGGAGAACTATTACTTTTGTGTGTCCTTTTGAGTGTTCTACTTTTCTGACTTAGGACCACTGTCTGCAAAGTGCCAAAGCACTAATGGCTTAGTTCTAAGGGAGTGTAGCATTTAGAGTGAGTGATGAAACAGAAAAAATAAATAAAAATAAACACATGCTGTTTGCTTTTTAGTGTCTGTTGTTAATGCACAATTGTATCCATGGATGCCTTACATTCAATTCAATAAAAGTATTTTTGTAGTGCTTGGTGAGCTTGGACAGTCCTTAAGTTGTATGGGCAGAGGAAAATACCTGTGTGTTTTCCCTAATGCCTATTTTATGGATATAGAATGTGTAGCAATTTGAGGGTCCCGTAGTAGCTATATCTACTGAAAAAAAAACACCATTTGTGTGGTAAACCATGAACAGATGATCTAATTTAGCAGTTCCATTACTTCAATATTTTTCATAGTCGGTTAGCTTCCGTTACAGTGCCTAGCTGAGAGAGCAAAATGGAAAAAGTAAAAGCTTAAGAATGCAGCTGCTTTAAAGCCTTTGATTGTAGCACAGCACATCATTTGAAATGCACTGAGGAAGCTGCTTTGATTGCTGAATATGTGTCATAATTTACAAGTATCCAGATGTTCAAGTCGTGGATCATTTCTATTCTGCTATATTGCTCTCAGTGCACACTGTTAAATGTGTGATATATTCTGTGTTAATATTATACTATTTTAGCCTGACTTTTCCCATTTGAGCACTCTTTTTTTGCCACGGCTGTCTCTTCCCCTTATTTGGAATCAATGCCCTTATCTTGCCACAATGTTTATTCCAAATTCCTTATAATCATGTTGTATATGTATATAGTACAGTACTACAGACCTTAACAACAAAGCTGTCAAAGTACAATAGCTCAATTGAGTGGGTCTTCGCTGTTATAGATCAAAAATGTCATTTTAATAGAAACATTCCTACTTCAAAGAGCACAATTCTATTGAAGTTTTTGAGACAGCTAGCACTAAAAATGAATGATTTCAGGGAATGAGAGTACTTCTTAATGAGTAAAATTTAACAAGCATGGGGCATTGCCGAATAATAAGAAACTCATAATCTTTCATTTCTATAAAGCTTTGCAACGGGAAGACATTTTATATCCACTTTATCCATGCTTTCACTTTCAGTGTGTATCAATATCTTGCCTTCACCTTCCCACAAAGACATTGCCACTTTTCATAAATGTTTGATGAGATGCAAAGAAAAGGAACATAGAGTAAATGTGAGCATAAAAAGGTTAGTATTTTGAATAGTAATAACACTGGCTGCATTTCTGATTGAAAATGCCATCTACTCTATGAACTCATTGAGCCGTTAATATTAACATGTTCAACAGAGTGAACTCCACTGTGCTACTGTTTTTGCTGTATATTATTTAATTAAAGTTAGCATTTTTACAATGCTGCTTTCTCTATTTTTACAAAACATAATTGTGAGTCAAGGCATTGCCTCATTAAATACTCTTACCTTCTAAACTTTAGTTTAGCATTGATAAAAAGTAGGTGTTCTGAATTATAGTTCGTGCTTACTCTGTGATCTTGGCATTTTTAATGATCTACGAAGGCCCAGAGATTTCTTGATAATGTTCTTATTGATTTGTTTGTGTTAGATAGGCTGGAATATCTGTTTCCTGTGTGTATAAGTAGAACCCACAGCCTAATCTTGCAGGTAATGAAGAGAAAAAAGCAACTCAAATGATGATTTGATGAGCTACATTAAAATACCAAGCCATCTTTTGTCAATAAACGTCAGTCGTATTTCTCTCCAGGGAATGGTAGCGGTAGCCAAATTGTTATGTATTTTTTGTATTTTACTTTTGCTTTTCTAAATCTATAATTGTATT